TTTTTTTTTTTTTTTTTTTTTTTTTTTTTTTTTTTTTTTTTTTTTTTTCTCTCCCTCTCTCTCTCTCTCTCTTGCTCGCTCGCTCGCTCCCCTGTTGTGTTTTTTTTTTTTTTCCCCTGGATTTTTTTTTTTAATCAGTAATTACTTGATCAATTAACTCTGTTTATCAGAGAAATAGTTCACACGTTCTTTTTTTTTCTTTTTTCTTTTTTACGATAAAAGGTGGCCCAGTGGCGAAGGTGTCTGTCCTCGCTCTCGCTCTGTCTTTGTTTTTCTTTTCTTTTTTTTGAATCTTGATAATACTTCAATTGATTAATTATTTCTTCTCTGTTTATTAATCAGATGGTTAACACGTTCTCCGTCGCTCTTTCTCTCTCTATCTCTCTCGCTCTGTGTCTTCGTTTTTTAGTCTGAATTCGATGAATTGAAAATTTATTCTGTTTATTAAACAAATAGTTTAACATGTGCTCTGTCTCTCTCTGTCTCTCTTGCTGTCTTTTTTTTTATATTAAATTTTCATTAATTAGTTGTAGTTTATTTACTGTGTTTATCATCAAGATTATTCAGCTTTCTCTCTCTACAGCTCTTTCAATATCGAAAGCGACGGCCTTGGGCATTGAGCGCTATGAAATAAACGTACATACATTGTATTATATACTATATAATATTATGTCTATTTGTATTTACAATTTGTGTATTCAACATATATATTATATATACGGGTACATGGGTACATATATATGTATACATACATTGTATGCCATATATATATATATATACACGCACTGTATATGTGACGATATATATACACGCACTGTATATGTATATATTATATTCCAAAAAAAAAAAAAAAAAGTGATAGCCGACCTGTGCCTTTTTCTTTTTCGTTTTTTTTTTCTTAACGGTAAATTGTTACACTGTTATTTGCTACTCTGAGAATACTCTGAGAACGTTCTGCGAATTTTCTGAGAATGTTATTCGAGTTTTCTTCGCGTACTTGCGCCGCGTCAGTCGTGGTTATGTGTCCTTGGGTGTCGGTCAGACCTCGTGGAGAAAAAAGGGAACGATGCGGAGAAGACAAGGTAGGATCAGATATTAAATTAGGGAAAAAGAAGAAAAGGACAATTGGGTTAAAAAAAAAAAAAAAGAAAGGCGAAAAAAAACTAGAGAGTAAAGTAGATACTTAATTAAATTAGCATGGAGAGAGTAAATTACATACTTAATTAAATTAGCATGGCACACGCGCATAAAGGGAGAAATGGTCGAAATAGAAAAAAATAAAATAAAATTGTAATATGTTGTAAGAAAATATAAATTATAAACGCTCTACAAATTATAATTACAATTCAGCGGCATTAAACGATTTCCGACCCAGCGTCCCTTTTCAAGACGCAGAAAAACGAAAATAACAAAAAAGATGAGCCTGGAGTCCATGTACGTGTGGTCAGGATTCGTTTGTTGTCCTCTTCTCTCTCTCTGCCTACGGTTTACAGGGCAGTTCTGTTTGTGACGATATATATATTATATGTATATATTATATGTATATATAGACCTTTCTTTGTTTCGTGGATGTTTTGCTGGCTTGTGATGGGGTGTGAACCGACAGTCTGTAAAGTTTTCCATCTGGTGTGGGTGAGTGATAGTCTACTTTGATTKTGGTTRAGGTAGATTATCATTTACAGTGTAATCAGTGAGGGGATTCTGCAGACTGTTGAGGGTTCAGCCTCCTGATGAGTCGGTGAAACTCCGACGAAACAGTTTGTCA